AGGAAATGCAAAATGTCCTGTATAATCTACAGGAGCCAACATGAAACCACAAAAAGAAATAAAAGAGAGGATTCTGTAGGCCCAGGCTTTCCCACCATACTTACATCCTTGATATAATCAGGAGTTATAGACTTGTTGTGGCAATCTATGGCGCCCTCGGCTACTATAATAATGTTCAGCCTTTTCTTATCAGCACGGTTCTAGAGAGACATAAACAAGTTAAAGCATTTAAAACATGACAGAAAACCTTCTGCATTCCCAAAAGCTGGATCCAGTAATGGAGGATAATCTCAGACCAACTACTGACAAATCTTCACATCTTTAAAGACATTTTTTCATTTAGCTGATTGTCTGTCTACGACAAGCACCTGCCACACTGTGGGGGAAGTTTCAGATATACAGCTAGCCAAACTGCTTTGTTGGAGGGAAAACCAATTTCCTTGAAACAAGACACACAACAAGTCCCACCTCCTACATAGACTGACAACATTTTACCACTTACTGTTCTTCTGGTGGGACAGTAGATGGAAGGGTTAGTGTAAAGAAACCCTGTGTTCATCCTTGGTGCCTAACATGCTACATGCATCTCCTTTGACTTCCTGTTTGCTAGCTAGGTAGCAATCTTTTTCCCTGTTGTTTCCAGCTCAGTATTACACATTACTGCCACCAACTGTCACACAGTAGCATTCACGGGCCGACCAACATCTGCAGTAAGTGCCACTTACATGAACCTAAGCACCAGGGGCCTACAGCTAGCAACTGCAGGTAAAGATATTTTTGCACAAATGTTAGAAATGTTCCCCCAGAATGTGGCAGGTGTCCAGACAAAATCACAAATACAGAGGTAATGGCTTGTGTTTGCCTGTCAATGGCTCCTTCAGCAACTATGATAATATTTAACTTGGAACCCCGAGATCAGCTCTAGATGATAACAAACACACTCACCACATCACATCTACTGGAAATGAATCAGTCGGTGTCAGATAATGCAAAATGAATACAGTTAGTAGTGACTTTATTGTTCGTCAAGTCATCTGCTGATGTATTATCGGTGTCAGAGTGCTAAAAATCAAAAGGAAGCATGTGCCTGACTGTGACCAGCTGCCTTAGTGGTGCAACTGATAGCCCACTGGACATCTGCTCAGTTACTTAAGGTTTGGATTTGAGTCCCAATGCTTCACAGGACGAAGAAGGCACAGATGTGTGTATTCCTATACATTAACCATCATTCTGAACAGGCTGCTGGCATTTAAACCTTGACAAATGGTGGCTGGCTACTGAGGCCTCCTGTGGTCAAATAGCTGTTTTTGTCCTGTTTTGAGTGCAGGTGACCACTATTTTGGAAAACCTTGTAACTAGTAAAACGAAATAGTTGTGACCCTCCTGGTTTGAAGTTTATAAGTAAACATAAACAACCAGCTGATGTGGCTGTATAAACGTTATGTTTCTCAGTTATTATATCCTGGTGGGGCTAGAGCCAATCCCAGCTGATAATGGGCAAGAGGTGGGGTCCACCCTGGACAGGTCACCAGTCTATAACAGTGCTAGCACATTATCACTGATATTTCCAAAAACTAGACTGGGTAGCTCTGTGAGGCAACAGAAAGCGTTTTGACTGGCTACTTAGATGTTTGAAACGTGACTTAAAGGTTGTGGGTTCAAGAGGTTTTACGGGGGATAAATTAGGTTAAAATGTGACTGGGCAAACTGCATCCTACTAAATTTTCTACAGGAAATATAATTAAGACTTCCTTCTATTGGGGTTTGTGTTCGTGTTCGTGTTCATATGTCTAATTAATCATCCGGCTCTGTGGCGCAATGGACAGCGCATTGGACTTCTAGTCAAACATTTGAGATGTGATTCAAAGGTTGTGGGTTCGAGTCCCACCAGAGTCGAGGTTTTACAGGGTAAGTTAGGGTAAAATGTGACTTCCCTGATGAAGTTTAAAGCATTAACCAACTCTTTAGTAAAACATTCAGTGTTATGGAAAAGAACCATATTGACAGATATTCACAAGGTTATAGTCTCTAGAAAATAAAAAGCTATTTGATAATAAAAATAAAAGCATCACATAACAGTAAGACTAAAACAAAACTGTAAGGACGGTTGAAAATTAACTAATTTCTGTATCCAACAAAGCAGTTATGTCACTTTACAAAAACGAACGACTTGAAACCGAGGACTCGAAAGGTGTACTAATCCTATGCAATGCTGCACATGCGCGGTCAACACAAAACTAACGAATCACTCCCCGAGATGACCCGATCTTCTCGAGTCATGGGAAAGATTTGCTGAAAATGAACGAATCATTCGTGAACGACACATCACTATTACTTAATCATCCGGCTCTGTGGCGCAATGGACAGCGCATTGGACTTCTAGTCAAACATTTGAGATGTGATTCAAAGGTTGTGGGTTCGAGTCCCACCAGAGTCGAGGTTTTACAGGGTAAGTTAGGGTAAAATGTGACTTCCCTGATGAAGTTTAAAGCATTAACCAACTCTTTAGTAAAACATTCAGTGTTATGGAAAAGAACCATATTGACAGATATTCACAAGGTTATAGTCTCTAGAAAATAAAAAGCTATTTGATAATAAAAATAAAAGCATCACATAACAGTAAGACTAAAACAAAACTGTAAGGA